GAGTGGTTTGGCCACAGCTAGATTTTGATGCTGTGGATTTTGTTGGCAGGCAGAAAAAGGTGAAAAACTCTTGTGTTCAGAGTTATGATTTCCTCGCTAGTATCTTGAGTAGATCTGAGAATGGCAGGTTTTCAGCCTTCTTTGCCAGAAAAGGGTTTAAATAATCCAGAAATGAGGCAAAGTCCAAAATAAGAGATTTAATGGGACAACAACAAAAAGCCAGCTTTTACACAAAAAGAATTGTGAGATTCAGAGCAATGTGTAAGAATCTGAGCTCACAGGGCAAGCTAAGTGGCAAGGAGCAAGCTATCTGAGGCTATGAGTGCAATGCTCATGCAAGTCTTGTCCACAGTGGCTGAGAAAGAAAGGAGAGGTAAAAGAGGAAGGGTAATTTCTGATTCTGTTAGTCTTGTGGATCTCTCATCACCAGCTAAAAGAAATGATAAATGCAGGCCATGCTGCTCCATTGCATCTCTTGGGTTTGGAACAAAACCAACTGCTTGTACGCAACTGTAAAAATATGTGATCTTTGGGAACTGTCCTCTCAGAAGTATACACAACTGGTAAATGAAGTAGTGAGAGAGGTCACAGGCACAGCTATATTTTAGCTTCTGAGTTGCAAACTTCTGAGCTATTTTCCTTTCCTTTTAGTTTAGAAGAGTCTGAACTGCTGTGCTTAGTAAACTTGGCAGGTCCTTTGAAGAAATTGAAGCACAGTATTTAAAAATTTAACCTTTGCTTGCATTAAAAAAGGAAAGTTGTTTCCCTAGAACAAGTCCATAAGTGATAAAACTTCCCAAAGGCTACTTTTTTTTTTTTAATTTTGGAAGGTTACAACCATACTAATATTAATAAGTAATTAGTTAAAACCTTCGTATCATAAAGTATCAGAAGTGAAACATATTTCTAGGATCTCTCTTGTTTTGGCATCTATAGATTCCAAATATTCTTTAGGTCTATAAGGATATTATGCAGATGTGTTACTTATTTTATATACATATTTTAATATGACACACATACATGTTCCAACTGGAGTTTAATGGATAATTTTGCATGAGAAGCTGAGCACATATGAAGAATTTTTAGCTAAGAGCCTTTGTCCTCTCCTACTGTATTTTCTCTCATCTAAAATATTGCATGTTACTTTAAATGTCAGTCATTTGGGATTTTAAAATAAATACATTTCATTGATTTTCTGGGTTGCCTGTCTTACTTGTCCTCATCATCTGCCTCTACAGGTTATTGTGCATCAATCACAGCTCAGTCAATACACTCATGTCCTTAATAGATGGAAAATGTTTTCCTGTGTGAAAAACCTGGCTCTTCAAACACCTAGTCTCCTCACCTTAACTTTTCAGTTTTAGAGCATGCTGATATTGCAGACTGTACTGTAACAGAGAGAAACATGTATTGATTGTGAATAAGTTAGCTTGGGTGCTGGAAAATATCAAGCATCATTGGAAAACTGAGAGAAAAAAAAAAAAAAAAAAAAAAAAAAGAACACAACACTGAAACTCATGGTACCACAGCTAAATGGCTATATTTACACCTATGGAAGTTCTATTCTTGATGTAACACTAATAAATATTCTTTTTTTATACAGAAAAACAATTTAAAATAGCAGATTCTGTGTGTGTGTGTTTATTAGAATGTTTTCCTCCCCTTCTTTGAGTCACCTGCAGCTTCTGTTAACTTACGGAAAACTACATTGCTGAGAGATTTAGTTTGTTTATTGTTTATCTGGAAGAATAGAGGGAGAACAATTGCAGGCTAGAGTAAGAAAGTTCTTCTAGATAAAATAGAGATATGTTTAAGAAAAATACCACTGTATTTGCAGACAGCTCCACTATGTCCTTGAAAAAAGGTTTCCTGAAAGCTCAAAGAATACTTTTCCCCTTATGTCTTTATCTTATTCCCTTATCTAATACCTGAAATATTTTTAGTAGAACCTTTGCAGTGCAGAGTCCAATACAAAACTCAGTTGTTATTTCACTTTGGTATGAAATTATGTTCTTCTGTTCTACTGGACTTCTAGATGAATAACTGATGGACTCTTTTGGGGATCTCTGGGGAAAGGTCTTATTAAACATTTTTAATTTTTTTTTTGAGGTTTTCTATATTCACTAATATTCTTGCCTCTCAGCAGACACCTCCACATCCAAATTCTATTTTGCTTAAAAATACTAAGAGACAGAAAATACCATCACAAGCATATGAAAGGCAGGAATTTTCTCTTTTCTCTGTGAAAACAGGAAAGCTTGAAACAAACAGACAGCTATACTCATTGACATTTGGGAAAAAAAAAAAAGGATTGTTTTGCTCCCTAAATATTTTTTTCCCCTAGAAAAAAAAGAACATACAGCAGATTGTACCTTGTTTCCTGAATACCTGAACATGAACATGTCTAAGCATTTTAAAGAGACCAGCTGACTATTCTCTCTCATGGAAGTTTATTACAATTTAAATTTATATTTTAGTATAATTAATCAATAGTATGGCACGGAGACTTTCATCGCTTTCATCACAGCCCCAGAGTGTCCTGGGCTGGGGGCAGCAAGAAGGGCGTGCACACCACCACTGTCTCACCAATGCCAGTTGTGGCAGCAGGAAGCGATACTGCCTTCTCCAGGGTCTCACATCTGCCCTTAGCCACTTCATCTCTTTGGGACCCAGCAGGTCAGAACCCCATGCTGCCCACTACCCACTGTAATTGACACCAGCAGCAATAATGAAGAGTATTTGCAGTGATGCATCTCATCTGCATCTGTATTACAGAATCAAAGAATTCTCTAGGTTGGAAGAGACCTCAAGATCATCGAGTCCAACCTCTGACCTAACACTAACAGTCCTACACTAAACCATGTCACTAAGTTCAACATCTAAACGTCTTTTAAAGACCTCCAGGGATGGTGACTCCACCACTTCCCTGGGCAGCCTGTTCCAATGCCTAACAACCCTCTCAGTAAAGAAGTTCTTCCTAACATCCAAACTAAAACTCCCCTAGTGCAACTTTAGCCCATTCCCCCTCGTCCTGTCACCAGGCACGTGGGAGAACAGACCAACCCCCACTTTGCTACAGCCTCCTTTAAAGTGCCTGTAGAGAGCAATAAGGTCGTCCCTGAGCATCCTTTTCTCCAGGTTGAACAAACCCAGATCCCTCAGCCGCTCCTCGTAAGACTTGTTCTCCAGGCCCCTCACCAGCTTCGTTGCCCTTCTCTGGATTCGCTCGAGCACCTTGATGTCCTTCTTGTAGCGAGGAGCCCAAAACTGAACACAGTACTCGAGGTGCGGCCTCACCAGAGCCAAGTACAGGGGGACAATCACTTCCCAAGACCTGCTGGCCACACTGCTTCTTATGCAAGCCAGGATGCCGTTGGCCTTCTTGGCCACCTGAGCACACTGCTGGCTCATATTTAGCCAACTGTCAACCAATACTCCCAGGTCCTTCCCGCCAGGCAGCTTTCCAACCACTCATCTCACAGTCTGTATCTCTGGTTAGGGTTATTGCGCCCCAGGTGCAGGACCCGGCACTTGGCCTTGTTGAACTTCATGCAGTTGACCTCAACCCATTGGTCCAGCCTATCCAGATCCTCCTGCAGAGCCTTCCTACCCTTGAGCAGATCGACACACGCACCTAACATGGTGTCATCTGCAAACTTACTGAGGGTGCACTCGATCCCCTCATCTAGATCATCGATAAAGATATTAAAGAGGACCGGCCCCAGCAACAAGCCCTGGGGAACGACACTAGTGACCGGCCTCCAACTGGATTTGACTCCATTATAAGTATACAGTAGACCTCCCACCGATAGCCAGGACTGCTGATAAATGATGGTAAGCAGCTTGGCCAGCTCCACCACCAGTTCCCTCAGTAACCTCGGGTGGATCCCATCTGGCCCTATCGACTTGCGCACATCCAAGCACTGTAACAAGCTAGGGCAAGATTACTCTCCACTGCATATCCTGAGCTGAACACTAAATAAAATGCAAGATGAAGTTAGAATTTAGGCCCAGGAACTTCATTTTAAGTTTTTCTTAACATAACTCCCATTTCAACAAGCTTTACTTTTTTTTTTTGTCCATTTCTCTGCTATGACTGGGAGAAAAACAAAACAAAACAACAACAACAAAAAAAACATTAATTGGTATCATCCATTGATTGTAAGAGTGCAAATGAAATGTGGATTGCTATCTTTCTGGATCAGGAGATCAGCCTGTAGCAGTCTGTGGATGACTTCATCAGCACAAGATCCATTTGTTGATTCCTGTGGGGGCCTTTTTTGGTTTGTTTTGGTTTGTTCGTTTAGTTTGATTTGAGTTTATTTGTTTTTGTTCTGTTTTCTAAAGCATATATGCTGGAAATGAACCAAGGGAGCATTTCTGTATTAATAACACTTAGCAAGTAAATCTGACTGAAGTTTATTTTAAAATGAGAAAGATAGGAAAAAAAAAAAGTACAGACATTGGATGCTCATTTTGCGGGAGGAAGGGAAAGTATCTCATGCAACGCGAGGCCTGCTTAAAAACACAGCTAAGATATTTGGTGTTGGAATGCAACTCTTTAATGATGACATATTTTCAGTATCAGCCCAAGAAATTAACCTTGAAGGGACTGGTAACTTACAATACACAGCTTTCCAGGCAGTAAAATAATTCAGTGGTTCAGAGAGGAAGACAAGCATTGTTAGAGTATTGGGGAAGAAACAGGGAAAGAAAAAGAGACACAAAATATGCAAAGTGTGATCATGCACTCCCCTAGTACAAGCTCTTTTGGTTGGCTCTGAGCTTTGCCAGGGAAAAAAGGAGAAGTGGGAGGGTTCATCATCAATTTCCCTGGGAGGCATAACCTGGTAACAGAATATGTGCTAATTAAGTGCTAATAGTTCTAATTAAGTGCTAATATCTCTAATTATCAGGAAAGAGATGGAGAAAGTGGGTTAATTTTACTTTATCTTGATTTTTCTAATTTATATGTTTTTAACACCTGGGTGTCAGTCCCTGTAATATGTTATTCCTTGGCTATGAGATACGGTATGCATTTCATGGACCTTTCTTGCAGGCCAGACCCAGTCCCTGGGCAGGTAGAAAAGGGGGCAGATCTCACATTCAGATCTGGGTGGTAAGAGTTGGAAACTGACCAGCTGCTTGCTCCCCTCCCCCATTCTTTTAAATTTTTATTTAATTTTATTTTTTCTCAGGTGTTTTTAGAGGCAGAAAACAGCTGGGCAAACGACACTTCTATGTTTAGATGTATCTGCCTGTCTGCCTTAAAATTAAGGTAAAATGTATGTTAATCATTACTGATCATTTTTTTATCGTTTTTTTTTTTTGTTTTGTTTTCCGATTCCATGGTTTTGCTTCTTGTGAAATTGCCAGAATTATCCAGTATCCTGTTGACCTTAATGTACCATGCAATTTTAAATGTTGCTTTACATTATTCTCTACAGATTTAAATGAAAATGGGGAGAAAAAAAATTCTTTTTAACATTAAGAGTTATTTTGTCATTGTATTCCTTTAAATTGACTCAACACACGTACAAAGGGAGCACAAAATATGCTAAGAAATGTTAAGTAACATACTACTTTGGAAGAGAAGTAAGATTTTCCTACAGGAAGGTGTCTGACTAGGTACCTTGGTAGTGGCTCCATACAGAGGGTTGCACTGACCCACAGAGAAGGAAATTGTGCTAAGTAATTTGGATTATTATATAGTCTGACTCACCTGGTGGATGTGCTGGAAGCTTTGTCATCTCCAGTTAAGCCAGGCGTGTAAAATTGTAAAACATAGTTTTATATGTATACATATATTTATATACTTGGACAAATACAAGTATATAGATGTGTTTTCTAATATATAACCTACCTTTTTTCACCTTCATATAATATTTTGAAACAATGTTTACTTCTTGTGCACTGAGAAGCTGTCATATTTTGAGCTGAGGGAGGGTTCTCATACTTCCCATGCTGCCAGCAGACCTTCAAAAGCAAATGGAAAAGTCTGTGGGCAAACAAAATGCTTTTTCTTTGGTTTGCAGCAGATGGGTCCTGATGGTTTCAACCTGACACCTGGTGATTCCTGTGTGGGTGCCAGAGGGACAGGCACAGAGGTGTGGGAAAGAGATGCCCAGTCCTCAGCTGTCCCCCGCTCTGAGCCTAGCCTCCTGTCTGTTGCTGGCACTGAGCATTGAGTCTTTCCCAGCTTCAAAGCTGTTGGGGATAGACTTCCTCTCTGCCTGTAGCTGGTTGCTTCATTTTCAGAGCAGTTTTAAGGGTCATAGTAAAGTACAGAGCTGCATATACATGTTCCAAATCCCCCACAACACATTCAGGGGTGCCTCTGCTCAGCTGGTACCAGCTCACTTCTATCACAGCCCTGTCCAGAGTTAACTATTCTTTCTGGAAAGCTTACTCATAACAATCTACATACATCAGGAAGAAAAGCCTTTGCCTTTCACTTGCAGCATGTTTGTGTAATGGAATCAATATCCACTTCCAAGACACATTTGTCTTGTGTATTGATCCAGCACCTCCAGCTCCTCTTTTGTCTGTGTGCTCCATAGTTGTTTAAGAGATTTTTAGATTAAAAAAAAATAAAATATCAGTATATCAAATTATCCTGATCAGGCTTTAAAGAGTTAAAAGATAAAATAGAAAAGCTTCACATATAAATGCACCCCCCCCCACACACACAAAAGACTGTGGTAGTGTAAGTTGTGTAGACAACCCTGCATAAATTGCCAGGATTTTTAGAGATAAGACCTTCTATAGTTTTGCATATTTTCCTGCTAGAAAAAAAAAATACTAGCTATTCCCACATTTTTGATTCTTTGGAATGATGTGTTTAATATGTCCTCAGTTAAAAGCTACATTTCGCAGATGGAAAAATATAATTCCATAATCATAGTAAATTAAGCTTATATAATATTTTAATATGACTGTAACTTATCAGTATATACAACTTACATCATACGTAATGGCATTTATGCTTAACTGAAATCCATGTTTTCTTTAAAAAAGACTCAGCATAACAATCTACTGGAAAGAATAGAGAGAGAGAGTGCTAAAAACTACTACACAAAATTGGAAGACATCCAGACATCCATTAAATATCTGAGTTCTAATGCTTGTTATACAGAGTTTTTCAGATTTTAAACACACATCCTTTTTCCTATGCTTTTATGTAGATACTGATATATATATACCAGTATATATATATATATATATATATCCAGGCTCACTACCTGACAAATGGAAACAGAAGCTTAAGAAATAACGAATAAATTCTCTACTGGTGGAGGGAAGAAGAGAGATGATCCTAAGATGATCCTAGGATGTAAGAATTGCCTCAGGTCTGCTTTGTTTTTACCTAGAGAAAAGGAGAAGTGAGCATTTATGAGCAAAATTTCTTGGAGAAATATGGTCTGTCATACTCTTCCTCTTTAATTACAAAATTTTCTATTGTAAGATTCCAGAATGAAAGAAATTTTCTTGCCTTCTCAAATGGCTATCAAACCACTCAGCTTTTATAGGGTCTTCTGCACAGATTATTTGGTGTTCAGCAGTGAAAGGTTTTGTATCTGAATCATATAATCTAAATGCACGTGGCATACTGGTTACAGAGCATACCACCAGAACCACGACCAAGGCCAGAGTCTTTAGAACTCTGTGATGCTTTCATTTACTTTATCAACTGTTACCCTTCCCGTTTTGAACTTTGACTGAGAGGGTGAACTTCATGTCCTATGTTCCACATCCTACTCTACAAATTTGGTGTGGGACAACCACTTTCCACATGCTCTTTGTGACAAAGCAACCATCACAAAATCCTGTATTATAGCCTCAGATCTTAAATCCCTTCAAGTTGCTGATGTTTTGACATTTTTAATGAGCTTTTGATTTTATTTTGTGGAGAGTGGGAAGAAATTACTTTAGCTCAGAAATGTTCCTCTACTCAGTTCATATATTTTCCTACTCAACGTTCAATCAGAATTTCTGCTTTGAAGTCTACCTTCTAAAACAGTATACCCGCTAAGTTATTAGAAATTCAGTGAGTATGTCTGGCACATACGTTTTAAATGCCTCAGGGGTATTTCAATATTATTCTCAGGAAAAAAAGCATAAACTCCTTTCTTTCCAATTTTCTTGTATTCCAAACTAATGATACCAGAATATATGTGAAAAAGCAGGTTCACCTTTCCACAACAACTAAAGAGCAGAATGATTTGCCCTGTGTCCAGCATGGATTCATTGTGTACCCATTCTAAATTGTACATATGACACTTTCATTTTCTAAATATTTTGAAATCTTAGCTAAAGCTCAATGTTGTAGTAAAACTAAATATATATTAGGATTTTAATATAACTTTAGGAAAGATTAAATTCTTTTTGTTACAGTATAACAGTTCCTCATGCTAATACTTTAATTATAATTTGTACTTTACTGGAGGTTAGTCCTCTTGCTAACAGGCTTCCAAGTTTCCTATTAAAATAGTTTTTAAATGCATTAACCATGGACTGAGGAAAGCTTTTCCTTGAGGCTAATATGTGAGTGATAACTCCAGATATGAGGAATTTAAGTTATGAAACTATGACAGTTCCACTTTTCATATTTTAAGTTGAATTCTGTGAGTTTTATGTAAGACAACAAAACTGGAGATAGTTTTCCAGCCATTGATACTAGACAGGGAGTCCAGATAGCATCGTGAGGAAAAAAGTAAGCCTGTTTCACTGAAATGCATTGGACTTGTAAAAATGTGTAGGCAAAGATGAGATATCAGGAATGTTTGTAAATTATAACATAGCATATGATTCACAAAGAAACCTGAAAACTTGTTTAGTCTTCTCCCCTCTCCTCCCCCCTCCTGTCTTCTGCTGTTCTTGAGCTGGTTTATAAAAACATGCCTCTCTAAGGAGGTCTTTTTTCTCCAACAAAGTAACTGTTGTTCCTTTATAGAAAGTCCTCAGCAGGAAGCTTTTGGAATTTCTCTGTCAGCAGACCAAATGAAAGGGCATGACATAAAAAGATTATCATACAGAGCATGGAGAGACATGGAGAAAAGCCACTAGTATAGTAATCATGATAAGAGTTACTACAATTTTGAAATGGAAAGAAAAGACCTATAAATGTCATGGGTTAGATGTGAATTAAAACACAATTTGTTTGCCTATTCTATGTTTAAGATCCAATTACATTTGCTTCTGGTATATGATTACTCTCCATTTTCTGCTTTTAGATAAAAGATGTTGTATTTTTTTCTGAACTAATTAAGACTAGTCACCAGCACAGCACCAAGTGTGATCAGTGCCCCATGCTGCCCTCATTCTACATGGGGAACTAACCTACTTCCCAAGGAAACAGCAAGTATTTTTTCATCCTTCATACCTATTGTTGTTATATTATGGTGTTTAGGCAGCACATAGCTTCTGTAAGTCTTCCAAATATTTCAGGTATCAGGAGAAAATCATGCTTTAAGAAAGTATATCTTCTATGGATTTGTGCAAAAGCATTAAAAAGGAATCTTCTTACAGTTCTCATCTATAAAGAAAGCTGTGATATCAATAGATTTACAGCTAGCTAATCAGATGCTCCATAAAATATTGGCAGCAAAGTCTAAATATCCTCTTTCCATGGCATCACTGACATACTGTTTTATACTTATATATTTAATATATTTATATTTAAATATTTATATATTTGTTTGTTTATATGTGGTACGGTGTGCTGTGATAATGAACAGGTTTCTCTGTGAAATTTCTGATGATTTCAGCTGACCTCTAGCATTAAAGTTCTTGTGACATTTTGTGGGTTACCTAGGGTAGTTTGATCAGCCGTGCTCCATCTCTCAACTCAAATTTAGACTGTCCTTCTCTCTGATGAACTAGCTCTTCATGATCTTGATTTTCCTTTCTCAGGATATAATCAATGTTTCATTTATTTTTTTATTTTTCTGCTGTAAAATACTGATTCTTACAGGTTCTTAAAATCACTTTGATCATCTCACAAACAGGGTGAGAGTGAAAGAGGATAGTCACTTGTTACTTTGTGTGTTGTTGTGCTTTGCTTTTCTCTCTTTTTTTTTTTTTCAAGGACAAGAAAGGGCTATTCAGTGAATTTTCCTTAAGCAAAATATTATTTTTTCTTAATACACATAAAAAAACAAAACCTATCTTGAAATGACAGCAGCTTTTCATATTTGTCTCCATTATTTAGTAGTCACTCATCCTTTGCAAGGATAGCCCAGAAAGTGCCAAGTCTCAGGGGACAGATTTCTTCTCATTACCATTTCATATCTATGGATCCTCTGACGGTGTCTTCCTCCAAGGTCAGGGCAATAGTCAGACAATCTACATGGCTATTCCTAAATAATTTATATGTGATATTTCAGTATAGTTTGTCACTAGTTTTTCAGTACTTTGTTTTCTTCTCCCATGCAGACTTTGATTCGTGCAAGTGAAGAAAAGTTTACATTTATCATTTATAAAATTAACTCAATACTCTTAGAATATCCTTGATATTCTGTGACACCAGCTGTTTTAAATTTTACATGTTTTTGTTCACCAAAATACAGAATTCCTGTGTCTCTCTATATAGTATTTTATTTATTCCTGGAGTAAGATTCTTAAATAATTGTCACTGCTCATATCATTAAAGCAGATAAAATTATACTAAAATACAAATACTTTTATAACTATGTTCTCCACATTTATTTTTTTTTTAGATCCTTCTAGGTGAAAGGCTGAACATGACTGTAAGGCTGTTGTCATTACCCGTCTTCAAAGCAGGGCTGAAGAGGATGTTCTTAGCCAGCAGTCTGTTTATGCAAAATACATAAATAGTTGCGGAATTAAAATGATATTTTCTACTGACTTTCTATCAATCAGGGGATGAGAATTGCATCCTGCAAGCATATTGTAGAAAACATCTATGGAAAATAGATATTTTTAAAGCAATCTAAGGTGTTGTACTTTTCATAAGAAAATACAACATAAAAGCAGAGCATAGGAATAATAATGTCCTTATATACACATTTTATCAATGTAAATGTGTCTTTTTAAAAAGATATCATGGCCTCCTGATGAAGAGAAATATCACAGAACTATACCGTGAAGCATTGAATGCATCATGAGAAGGATATGCCCTGACAACAAAAACAAACCCTTGATGGTCAATAAAGACCACCTGATTAAATCACTCTGGTCATTCATGTAAATAGTAATGATACTGCTGACAATGAATGTATGATGAGATAGATGACAAACAAGAGGGTCTGACATGGAAGCAAAAGACTCAGGATAAATAATAAAATCCTCTTGTAGGGATGGGTATCTCTAGATAAAGGATGAATGGTTGTCTATGCAGTTTGGATTGTGAATGAGCATAAGTGCTATAACTGCAGAAAGATGTTCAATGAGGGGCTGAGAAGAAGACAACATATTAATCTCAATGTGGCAGGAAGACAACTGCACATGTCCATGTGCATGTCCTTGGCTTTTTAATTTCTTAATTTAAAAGGAGGAAAAAAAAAGAAAAAAAGAAATAATGAGGGGCCTGGAGAACAAGTCCTATGAGGAGCGGCTGAAGGAGCTGGGCTTGTTCAGCCTGGAGAAGAGGAGGCTCAGGGGTGACCTTATTGCTCTCTACAGATACCTTAAAGGAGGCTGTAGTGAGGTGGGAGTTGGCCTGTTTTCCCACGTGCCTGGTGACAGGACGAGGGGGAATGCGCTAAAGTTGCGCCAGGGGAGTTTAGGTTAGATGTTAGGAAGAACTTCTTTACCGAAAGGGTTGTTAGACACTGGAACAGGCTGCCCAGGGAAGTGGTGGAGTCACCATCCCTGGAAGTCTTTAAAAGACGTTTAGATGTAGAGCTTAGGGATATGGTTTAGTGGGGACTGTTAGTGTTAGGTCAGAGGTTGGACTCGATGATCTTGAGGTCTCTTCCAACCTAGAATTTCTGTGATTCTGTGATTCTCCCCAGGCCATAGATTTAGGATGTGGAAGAAAGGACTTCAGATGCAGCAAAGGGACTTTAGTTTAGGTGTTACAGTGTGGTGCTTTTACTCGGGTGGGCAGTCGAGTTCCACCATGGCCGCTCTCTCACTCCCACTCCTGAAAGGGAAAGGGAGAGAAAATACGATGCCAAGGGTTCAAGGGCTGAGATAAGGATGGGGAGATCACTCAGCAGGTATCGTGATGGGCAAAGCAGACTCAGAGGACGGAGACAGTAAGATTTTTCCCCCCCCACTCCACCCTCTCCCATCTCCTCCCCCCGAGCGGCTCAGGGGAGCAGGGCAATGGGGGCTGCGGTCAGTCTGTAGCATTTTCTCTCTGCCACTCCTTCTCGGTCGCTCTCTGCCCCTGCTCCACTGGGGTCTCCTCCACGGGCTGCAGTGTGGAACCCTGCTCCACCGTGGCACACCATGGGCTGCAGGGGGACATCCTGTTTCTCCGTGGTCCTCACCACAGGCTGCAGGCTCCGGCGCCTGGAGCACCTCTCCCCCTCCCTCTTCACAGACCTTGGCGTCTGCAAGGCTGTTTCTCATTCCTCCCTCTCTCCCAGCTGGTCTTCCACAGCATTTTTTATTTATTTAAATTTGTTTGTTTCTTTTAACCTTTCTAAAATCTGGCCTCACAGAGGTGCAAACAATAGCACTTCTCGGCCTGGCTATGGCCAGCAGCGGGCCCTTCTCTAACATGGCGCAGTTTCTGGATTCTTCTTGCAGAACCCACCCTGATGGCCCTCCTGCTACAAAAAAATCGCCACGTAAACCCATTACATAAGGCAAGAGAACTTGGAAATGGTTTGAAAGAGATTTATAGCAACATCACAGAACATGGCACCTCCTAGTACAAAAAAGACAGCTCTACATGAAATGATCGTTTGGCAGATTGAAAACAAACAGAAGAATGTGCTTCTTCACACATCAGGCACAAAGCTGTCGGTCTGGCTGCAGACATGGTAGGTGCCAAAAAGCGCCTCATTGTTGAAAACACCAAAAGCTGCACAATGCAGAACTCCTTAGCGCCAACTAGAAGAAAACACCAAAAGCTGCACGATGAAAAACTTCTCAGGGCCTGGAATGAGAAAAAACAAAACAAAACAAACAAACAAACAAACAAAAAAAAACCACTAAATGCTAGAAGATGAAGCACTTCTCAGAGGCTGGAAGGTGAAAACAACACCAAAAGTGGCATGATGAAGCCCTCATCAAGGAAAACATGGCGAAGAACCCCAAAGGCTGGATGGTGCAGAACTCCTCAGAGCCGAGTAGAAGAAAACACCACAAGCTGCACGATGAACTCCTCAGGGCCGTAGTGAAGAAAACACCAAAATCTGCAAGATGACTCATTCCTCTGGAGTCCCAAAGTGAAGAGAACCCCAAAAGCTGCACAATGAAGAACTCCTCAGGGACCACAAGGTGAACAAAACACAAAAAGCTCCACGAAGAATTACTCCTCAAAAGCCACAGTGAAGAAAATGCAAAAAAGCTGAATGATGAAGCGTTCCTCAGGGGAAACGTGGTGTGAAGAACCCCAAAAGCTGCACAATGAAGGCATCCTCAGTGGAAACGCAGTGAAGGAAACACAAAAAGCTGGACGCAGAAGCACTCCTCAAGTAGCAGTGAAGAAAACACCAAAAGCTTCTCAAGAAAGCACTCCACAGAGGCTGCACTGGAGAACCACCAAAAGCTGAACGATGCAGAACTGCTCAGGGCTGCCGTGATAAGAACACTGAAAGCTGCACAACGACACCCTCCTGCAGGGTCACGCATTGAAGACAACACCGAGAGCTGCACACAGGAGCACTCCTCAGGGGCCACAAGTAGCCCAAAGGCTGCACCTCGCCTGTGCGCCACCATCGCCAGAGTGCCACAGCCCCAGCACACCCAGCACCATGTCACCCACCCTGCACTGCGACATCTCTGCTCCATCATAGCCAGGCGCCACCCCATTGGCAGCGAGGCCGCTGGCGCTTGTTGCTAGGCAGCATGGAGCTGTGGCAGCTGATGGGCTCCAGGAGACCGCAGGGCAGGGCTGGCCTCCCAAGGCTGAGGCCTGGCGCAGTGCCTGGCAGGAGCGATGAGGCTTTCCTGACACCACCTCCAGCTCTGCCTCACCTTGCCCCCGGCCCTCCAAGAGGCACGTTTTGGCGCTAGGAGCACGCAAACTGCTCCAGCAAGGTCGCAGCAGCATTGTGCAGGTCACACTGACATTGCACATCAGTAAATCCCTCCTCTGTCCCCGGTGACACAGAGTACACTGCCCGCTTAGCTGTGCTGCCCACAGACATGAAATTGGGTCCTCGGTGTCCTGAAGGGTACAAACCAAAGCCAGTTCTGTTGACACGGCCCACAGGACTAAACACGGTTAAACCATGCACCGTGAGAATGCCAGTCTCTTTCTTCCTCACCCAAACTGCCCAGTGCCATGTAGCTTTTGCATCAGCTTCTTGCAGAACTGCATCTTCAGTGTTCATACAGCTCTGCAAAGCTTCCACTCTGCAAACTTCTGAGTCTGCGGACTGTGGAAGGACCAAGACCCCACTATGCAACTCGCCATTCGATGTCGTCTTCAAAACCAGGGGTTCTTATCGATGCAAGCCAGGTCTAGAAAGACTGTATCTTCCTCTTTTCAATTGTTAGGGGTAATCCAAGTGTTAGAAGACTGTGGAAACGTTGTGTTATTGGAGCTGTTACTCCAATAGGTTAAACAGAAGGTAGAGAAATCTAGGCGTTGTGGGACTCGTTTCACAGAATTGTAGGGGTTGGAAGGGACCTCCAAAGATCATCAGTTTAACTCCCCTGCCAAAGCAGGTTTCCTAGAGCAGGTTGCACAAGTAGGCATCCAGACGGGGCTTGAATATATGTAGAGTCCACAGCCTCCCTGGGCAGCCTGTTCCAGTGCTCCGTCACCCTCATCGTGAAAAAGTTCTTTCGCATAGTGGTGCGGAACTTCCTGTGCGCCATTTTGTGGCCATTGCCCCTTGTCCTGTCCCCACAGACCACTGAAAAGTGGTTGGCCATATCCCTGTGTCTCCCACACCTCAGGTATTGATAAGATCCCCTCTCAGTCTTCTTTTCTCCAGGCTGAACAGAGCCGGGTCTCTCAGCCTTTCCTCCTAGGGGAGATGCTCCTGTATCCTGTCTGTGAGCTTCCACTGGACTCTTTTCAGGAAATCCCTGTCTTTTTTGTACCAGGGAGCCCAGAACTGGACACAGTACTCCACGTGAGGCCTGACCACGGCAGAGTAGAGGGGCAGCATCACCTCCCTTGACCTGCTGTCCATGTTCCTTTTAATGCACTCTAGGATCCCGTTGGCCTTCTTGGCCACCAGGGCACACTGCTGGCTCATGGCCAACCTGTCACCCACCAGGACCCCCAGGTCCTTCTCCGCAGAGCTCCTCTCCAGCAGGTCATCCCCCAGCCTGTACTGATACATGCAGTTGTTCCTTCTGTTATAAATGGAGTCTCAACTCAATCTGAATTTAGTAATATTTATAAAAGGAATATTTATAAAAGGTATAAAAGGCAAGTAAACAGCACTGGGTGTGCAGGGAGTCTACGCTCCACCAACACACACACACAAACATCAAACATTCTAAATATACAGAACATTGTCTGCCTATACATACGTACAATCAGGAAAGGTAACAAACAATCCTTTAAGTTCCATGACTTACTAAACTTGAGTACGCCTATATATAGGTACAATCAGAAAAGGTAACAAACAATCCTTTAAGTTCCATGACTTAACAGGCTCCATTTTCCTTTCCTTTTGAACAATATGTCTCGCTTTAAGTTGTCAAGCAACTCGGTCTTCAGGTCTTATGTATCCTGTTCTTCCCAGATTGAAAAAAAACATATCCATCTCCTTTTCAAGGCCAATGAGGCCTGGGTCAAAAGGCACGTTCAGGTAACCAGGGGGCATAACAGCAAAAGCCTTCGATGACTGTAGCAGCAGAGGGGCCCATGGCATAGCAGTAAGATCAGCAAAGGAGCCCGCAGCTCCCTCACTATCTGGCAAACCACACATTTGTGATTGTGGCTCCACATGGCTCTTTAAGGCCTCAGAGATTGCTCGCCAGGTGCTGAGCAATCCCACTGCAACCTTGTCATTTTTAGTTGCAGAGTCCCACACCCTGACCTCAGTTTGGTCCCATATTTCAGGCTCATAAACTGTCCGATTGTTAATAAGGAGAATTAGCTGTAAGGTTACCAGGACAGTCTTTGTTTCTAAGCACGTATGATTCCCCATAATGAGCAACTGCTTACCAGTGACAGGCAGCTGTGTGAACAGGTCCGCTTCTCTCAGTTCGAGCTTCTCTCCAGCTCCAGTGTGCCTATTTCCAGCGATCTTCTGTACGAGCTTCTCTGAGCAGTTTGCTGAGTTTGGCCAAACCTATCTTCATGAGGCGATCAATGTGCCTGTTCCCGTCCTGGTCTCCGTTCTGCTAGCCTGTTCCTCTTCACTCCTTTTTCCTGCTTCTTTATTGGTCATAACTTCATCGCACATCCTGTTGCCTTCATTTTTTTCCTTTTTTTTTTTCCTTTTTTATCTTGAGGGCAGGCTCCCCTCTTAAACCCTTCTCTCCACA